GAACCTGCGTGAACGGTGGGACTTTGCCGTCTGCGTCTCCCAGCAGATGTCTGGGTAGTTTAGGTCCCCCATGACTACCGCCTCCATAGTTTTTATGGTCTCCGAGAGCTGCCTCAGGAGCCCCAAATCTAGCTCTTCCCCTGGTGTGGGGGTCTGTAGCAGACCCCTACCACCAAATCCCTTTCTCCTTGACCCCCATGTAACCTAACCCACAATCCTTCTACTTTCTCCTCTTTTCTCCTAGTTTAGTGCTTGATAGTATGCATAGGAACACTGCATTTGTTCTGGGACATCATGCCTGTGTCTGTCCTGGAACAGAGAAGTCCCTGGACTGGTGTGTACAAACATCACCTTTTCATCAGAGTTTAGGAAATGCCTGAATGCACTGCCACTTTTCTACCATTAATTTAATCATGTAATCGTAAAAGAACTGGTCAGACAGATTTTGTGATACCCAAGGACAAACTGTTAGCATTTCTTATCCTATGAACCTTTTTAGAGTTTGTTTCAGAACAACGGACATGGAAGTGTGAACAACTGCACTTTGTTCTGGAATAAAATGGTTTCTCCCAGGAGAAATGCAACATCTGTTTGTAGCCACAAATCCCATTTTCGGTTCAGAAAGACAGACAAGTTTGCCCACAATTAACTGGCAAAGAGTGGCTCAGCTTACTGTAGCACAAAACCCCCATATGCTAGGACTCCAAAATTCCTAGCCACACATCCCAGTGAATGCAGTGAAGGTAAGTAACATAAATATAGCTTTGCAGTGAGCCTACTTATCCCTGAACTGGACTAACTTGGGTGTCAGTCACTCCAGTTATGCAAAGACCAAAATCAGAATTTTTTCCCTGGTTTAGGTTTAGGGTAAACTATCACCACATTATGGTGGGAATTGCTATTTTCTTGCCACATTGGTAGGGAGAAATGCAGAGTGCCAAGACTGCCTATTTTTCATCACTGCCTGCCTATCTTTATTTGTGCACATGTGAGCAGGGACCCCTTACCACCACACCATGACCATGACACATACATTATGCAAGGGAAGGAGGTGTTTCATGCC